CTTGTTTGGCACTCCAGAATGCATGCAATTTCTCAACGACAAGGACATCAACAAAACACATTAAAATGAAATAAGAAAGACAAAAGAAGCAGTAGTAAACAGTTCCCCGGTGCAGCTGCTAGCTAAAAGCTTTCATTAATTAAGACGCTTTGTTTGAGACTCCCTTCTTTTACTCAATTAAGACTGTGCTTGTACGCTTTTCATTACTTCCTGCTTCCATGCAAATTTCCTTCCTTGTTTTTTCATCAACAGTGAGAAAAATGACCCCGTCACGGAGCCGAGGAGCCCCATCAGTGGCTCCGTTCCAAAACATAGTGAGCCGCCTGTCTACTGCTTACAAAGAGACTGTGTTCTTGCATTGAAGACTGCTATAGAGCACAATTTTTCACAGTTGAACTACTTTTGTCTTGATACAGCACCTTTAAAAAAAAAGTGTTAATAATCTATTTTTGAATTAGTATGACCTTATTTGTTTTTGTTTGAAAATATTCTTAAACAATTGTGGATGGATATTTTTGTTGCAATGCATTCTGGGATTGCACACAAAGGATGCATTGCAAAAACCCAATTTTCTTCCTTAGTGTTTTTTTATAGATAATTATAATAATAAAAAGGTTATAATATAAATAAAAGGTTAATATAAAAATAAAATGATGCTTAATGAGAAATTGATCTAAATGAAATTAAATAATGCTTAAAATGAGAACAGTTATCTGCCTTTCAATTTGAATTATTTAAATTTTCTTACCCCAATGGCAGACTTTGTTATCACTTAAGTTTGACCAGTTTCTCAGAAAATTACTTGTCATTATGCATTTCAAGTATATGCATCTTGATCAGTTTTATTGTAAACTAAAACTTTTAAAAATCGGTTTTGATCATTAAAATAAAGCTGAAATTAAATTAAAATATCAGATGAAAATTGGCTAAAATTAAAATAGTAAAAAAAGGGTTTTACGAAAATAATATTAAAATCCGCTGATCTTGATTTAAGAATGTTTAGCTAGAAAATAAGAAAATAAGACAAAAATAAATTAAATAAAAATAATAAGAATAAGAATAATTTTTTGCAGTGTACATCTAATCTAATGTGTAATATCTTAAAAGGGCTTGAGTTCCTTTTGAAGTGCCTCTATATTGTCTTAGAATGCTGTCTAGTTAGGGAGCTCACTAGGTTTTGGAACAGACCCCAACTTGTCCGTTTAGATATACAGTATTTGTGCACGTGTGTGTGTGTACGGTGGCTGAGAAGTGCAGAACAAATCACAATTCCGAAAACAAAAGAACAAATTACAAATGCAAATGCAAGTCTAAAAAACAAAATAACAATTCAGAAAACACAACGACAATTCAGAAAACATTATAACAAGTCAGAAAACACAATGACAAATTCGAAAAAAACTAAATAAGTCAGAAAACACAACGACAAATCAGACAAACCGGAAGAGGTAGGTATAGTTTGAGACAGCGCCATTGGTTTGGGGTTACTCACCGCTGACTGGACGAGACATCTGTCAATCAACGTATACAGGAAAAACCAGCTGAAGAACAGCAGAGTCGTAGTAGAAAGTTCGGAGATGGTATTAAAGTAGCTCAGTTTAAATGTATTGTATGAATTGCCCTCACTGTGGAATAAAAAATACGGGGTGTATATTTACATTTAGTAAAAAGTGGCAGTAAAACATCAGCTCCAGTGGTGCAGATGGATAAGCGCGTGTCACTCACTTTTTGACGCGATCGACCCGGGTTCGATCCCGTCTTTTGCCAAGCTTTTTTTTCCTCCCTTTTCAAATCTCGTATTAGTAATGGATTATATTTACACTAAAAAATTCCTTTAATAATTAGTTCCTCTGAGGTTGCATTAAATTCTCTTTGCTGGTTTTCTCAGCATCATGAAATTGCAGAAGGCTTCTACCCAGACCAGCGAGTGGGTTCTTCCTTAAATTAGGGAGAATTATCCTTTGAAGGTCTCTGCTTTCTGGAGTAAATTACACATATGGTCCGGTATCGCTGGGCGTATTCGAAGACGATCACTCGCACCCAACGCCTGCAAGCTTTCTGCATGCTAAACTGTAAAGAGAATAATTGTACACGCTTTTGAACACCATCAGCATTAATTTGATGCATAGTAGTTTGAGGGCTATAATGCTTTCAAAGACGACGGATGCCATTTCTACACAATGCACGCAGACGGAGCACTAGTGAAGTTGCTAGTTAGTGACTCTGTATTGAGATACCAAAAAAAAAGCATGCCAATCCCTTCATGGGCAGCATGACTCCTTGATCTCACCAGTATTAAGTTTAAGTTTGG